TGGGCTCTCTGCTCACGTCCCGGTGTGGTGTGTGGGCTCTCTGCTCATGTCCCGGTGCGGAACTAGAAACAAACAGCAGCTGGGTCAGATTCTGGGCAGGAGGGTTCTGCTGGTGTCCATTTTCTGGCATGTCCCTGCTGAGTTAATGAGTGTGCCATTCCAGTTGCTAATTGGCCCATCGTTCTCTGGTTTCAGGCTCACGAAATCTGTTACTCTGTGCTATGTCTGTTCTCCTACATGGCCGCAGTACGAGGGAAGGAAATGGAGAGCAAGAACAAGGTGACTCCAGCGCGGTAAGACATCAGCCCCTTTTCATCCCCCTTCATTCTCCTCTCCAAAATAAACACTCCATCTCATGGCCCCACCCGCCAGCTGGCTGTGTCCACCTATCTCTGCAATGCTGCAGCTCCAGTCAGACAGGCTCATTACAAATAATGACTGCTCAGCTTGTGCTTGTTCTTAAACCATCACATTTGCTCGAGGCTTGTCTGATTAACTGACCATGTCAGGGGTCCTCGCCTTCTGTCAGCTGACTTAAGACTGCAACATGAAACTTACTTCAAATGTAAGCTTCATTGGTTCTACACTGGATTCACTGCAAACCCATTTACTGAGGGCTGTGCCTGCACTGGATTCACTGCAGCTCCACTGATTGACCACTTCTGCACTGGATTCGCTGCCTCTGTGTTCGTTGAAGGCCATCTTGCACTGGATGAATTTCATTCACTGAACAGGCACCACTTCACTGGATATTGGCTCGTTGAGGATTGCTGATCCACAGTTATGCATCAAGGACCACTCTAGCACTGAATTTGATGAATATTCACTCACTGAGGGACCCTCTCTCTGCTGGATTCACTGAATTTTACCCATCAAGGACCATTTCTTCATTTGCTACGTTATTTCCTCTCAAGGACTTCTGCACTGGATTCGCTGCATGTACTCCTGTCCGGGGCCACTTCTGCACTGGATTCACCATATATCTTCCCATTCTTCCCATCGAGAACCACTCCTGCACTGGATTTGCCGTGTATCCTCCTGCCAAGGACCACTTGTACACTGGATTCACTGCATGTTCTCCCACTGAGAATGACGACAATGTGAATTTTCCCACTTGAGGTCACTTTGTTCTTGTTGTTCCACCCATTCAAGTTGGATTGACAATATGAAATGAGGCCACTTCAACACTGGATTCACTGCGAATGAGCCCGCTCGGGATGCCACATTTAAATCACTATCCGTTCACCTCAGTCATGTTCACCAAGTCACTGTTTGCTGCAGAGTTGACCCTGTGTGGATTGGTCTTTCACTGGAATCCCTTGGAATTGACTGCTCAGTTACCTTCTGCTGAATTCACTGTAAACTAGCAGATTCAGGAACTGCTTCCTAAAAGGGATTTGGCCACTGAGGAGGAATCTTCCACTGGATTTGCCCACAGGAAGCAGCCCTGCACTGGAGACACTTGCAGAGGTTCCCGAGAAGAGTGAACCTCCGCTGATGTACAGACCAACCCCAAGTTGTTTTTGTTGTACCCACTCTGTGTTCATTATAAAGAGTTGAGATGTAGAGACTGTGCTTTCTTTCATTCCACTCTCTTTGTCCCATCAGAGAGTTAAGCCGTCCCAAACTCACTGCAGCTCCAACATGTAATGGCCTGACATCGCCCCCTGGACAGAGTCTATGGGACCCCAGGCCACTGGGTTAGAGGGAGAGTTGAGGGCCAGCAACTGGCCTGTGGGAGACACAGAAGGCTTCTGACCTTCCAGCAATGTCCTGGGAAACAGGCTGCCACCCCTCAACACTCATAACACCCCAACTGCACATAGCTGTCTCTCTCTTTCTGTCACTGGCATATCCAAACACTGCCACTTGGTTATAAAGCACCCAGAGAGGAGTTCAGAATTGACTCAACTTTGGACCACACCACCCCCTCACCCACCCAGTGCCGCACTAATCGCTGGTGAGGGGGAGGGGCCGAGATGGGGGGAATACCATCTTCTCGCCGGTCTCCCTGTGAGTAGACCACCTACCAAACCTCGTCCTCCTGTTGTTCAAAAACTATTGCGTGTTCCTCACAACTGCAGCCCACTCATTTCAAACACACCACCTTACTTCAGTGGGAAAGCCCAGAGACCCCTCAAAGCCCAGAGTTACAGAGCAGTGATCCTCTCTCCACTCCCTCACCACCACCAACACCCCCCGCCCCCAATACCCTGGCACACCCCGAAGTGATTCCCCCACCCACCCACCGCTGTGCCCCGGAGCATTAATACTGTCCGTCATCTCAGTCTGAAGGCCCACTGTGAGCTTAGATAAATTCTTGAGAGTTGTATCTGCCAGTTGCTTGCTGGTAGTGGGATTGACAACTTGCTTCCTCCAAACCCCTTTAGTGAGCGCCACTCTTCAGGCGTAACTTGAGGGGAAAGTGAAGTGGTCAGAGTGTATTTGTAAGGACTGACTCCTGCCCGAATGTCTGATGAGGCATGGGCCCTATCAGTCTCTCAGTTAGCTGCCTGCTTCTCTTCCTGCTCTGTGTTGTGTTGTGTTCATCTGTCAGGTATTCTTATCTCATTTAGCCTGAAGGATGTTTGGTTTTGTGTTTGATGCTTGCTGATGTAGAATGCATTATTTTGGTGTAAATATTTCAGTATTACATATATTTATAGCACTGTACAGTACCTTGAATGTTGCAATAAACTCTTGTCCCTGTGGCCTCTGTTTCATGTTCTTCTCAGCACCTGCCTGCCCCATGTATCTGCTCCTGTCCTGTTCTTCCTGAGGCATCGTCTCTCTTCTCTCCCCTGCCACAGGGCCTAGGCTTATATTCTTCCCTCAGCCCTTACACATCCTTCCTCTCTCCTGCTTTCACTCTCTTTCTGCCTCTGTCTTCCACACATCTCTCTTGTGCACACACTGGCAGCTACTGTCTCTCTCTCTCTCTCTATCTCGATCTTTTGCGTACATTGATTCATTCGGTGTCTCAGTATCACTGACATGCTTTCTCACATTGTCACTAACACACACACTCCCACTTGTTCCCTCTCTATGTTTCAGAACTGAATGTCGCTCGCTGTCTCCTGCCTACTCATTCTCCCCCTCCAATTCTTTCTCGCTCCAATGTTTCACAGTCTTACTCACTTATTCCTTCTTTGCTTGCCTCAAGCTCTATCTTTCTGTCGCACACACTCACTCTCTCTTGTTTCTCATCATCAGTCTCTCTCAAGTATTCCTACTCCCTCATAGTACTTCACACTCTGCTTCTCATGTTGAGGGCCAAAAAATAGAAGGTCCATGGCAACCGGAACTCCGTCAAGTTGACCCACACCCTTCGACTCTAATGGAGGCAGAACAAGAACATGATGCCTCCTGATAACTAATCTCTCTGAATGCTGTGTAATGAGGAGTAGCTGCAGAACTAAGCCCAGAGGCCCAAAGCCACAAGAGACCAGCACCAGTTAAAAGCTACTTAATGAGGAGGTGTATTCTAGCTGGAGTTCATTCTAAATACAGGGCAATAAGAGGATATGAAGGCAGAGCTGGTTGTGGTGAACTGGAAAGCCTGCTTAACGTGTCAAAAGAAGTATGTTGGCACACTTTGCTGAGACTTTACTAGTGCCTTCAAAGATTTATCTCTATGAGAAAGAGAAGCTCATGACCAAACACTCATAGGATAGTGTTTAATTGAAAAAAAATCCTGTACAAATCTGCAAAGATTGGTAGATCAGAGAACTGGAGGACCAGCAAAAAGATGATGAGAGAGAATAGAGGAACCTAATGTGATAATGAGATAAGTCAGGTAAATACAGAGCAGTTAGTCTGACATCAGTGGTGGGGAAATTATTGGACAAAATTCTGAGGGGGAGCAGGATTATTCAACGCTTAGAAAGGCAGGGGATTGATCAGGGTTAGCCAGCATGTTTTTGTTAGAAGGAGATCCTGTCTGTCTAATTTGAGTTTTTTTTTTGAAAAGTGATGTCTAAAGACCAGGGGTACATATGTTTAAACTGAAGAGTAATTTGTTTAGAGGGGCCCTGAGGAATAAAAAGTGCTTTCACCCAGAAGGTGGTAGATATATGGAACATGCTGCCTGAGAGGATAGTAGAGGCAGGTACTCAAGAAGCATCTGGATGCCAGATCTTTGTAGATAATGGACCAAGTGCAGGTAAGTGGGATTGGTGTAGTTTGGTGTTTGTTGCTCAGCATAGTGGGCTGAAGGGCCTGTATCTGTGCTGTATGACCTTGACTTTTATGCTAGCTACTGTAAAATCTCTGTCCTCTAGAGAGTAAAAAACTAGCTCTCGGTTCCAATCTGTTATTAAAAGTATTTGAACAAGAGCGAGTCTAGGGAATTGATGATGGAACACCGAAATGGTAGAGTCAGGAGACAGATACTTTAAGTTTTCCCTGTGAAGACTGACAGCTGGAAAGTGAAAGCGAGTGTAAGCAGTCACCTTAATCAAGGGGAAAGGTGCTGGATCTAAAGGCTGACAATTCCCAGTAAAAATCGATAGAACTGTGGATGCTGTAAATCAGGAACAAAAACAGAAGTTGCCGGAAAAGCTCAGCAGGTCTGAGGAAAGATCACCACACCCTAAACGTTAACTCTGATTTTTTTCCTTCACAGATGCTGCCAGACCTGCTGAGCTTTTCCAGCAACTTCTGTTTTTGTTCCTGACAATTCCCAGAATGGCCTGCATCCTATCATAAAAGAAGTGGAGGCCCAGAGAGAAGATATGTTGGTTATAATCTACCAAAATTCCTTTGAGTCTGGAAAAGACGCGACAGATTGAAAAATATCAAATGCAGCATCTTTATTCAAGAAAGGTGGGAGGTAGAAAGCAGGAAGCTATAAGCCAGTTAGCTGAACATCTGTCATAAGGAAGGTGCCAGAATCTTAGCAGGTTCATCAGGGCACTTAAAACAGTGTGACCAGGAAAAACCAACGGGGTTTTGTGAAAGGGACATCGTGTTTAACTAATCCATTTGAATTTTTAATGGTAACTGTGATGGTGGATAAACTGATAGATGTGGTGTACTTGGATTTGCAAAAGGATTGGTCAGTGAACAGAAGCAGAAAGTGGAGCTAAAAGGGACTTTGTTGATTTGGGAATCTATAGCCAGTGGAAGCTGCAGCGATCAGTGCTGGGTCCTCAACTGTTGGCAGTCTGTCAGTGATTTGGATAAGTCTGAATATATGTTAGCTACATTTGCCAATGACACCAAGATCAGGGGGAAAGTATGTTGTCAAGCAGGGGTCGAAAGTCTGCAGCAGGATATAGACAGGTTAAGTGAGTGACAAACGTTTCCCAGACATGGGCTAATAACATGGGCCAGTGTGAACTTCTCCATGTCGGTGCTTTATTGTTGAAATGGAGAGAGGTCGCAGAATCTGGTGGTACACAGGAATCTGGGTGTCCTAGTTCGCATAGAGTTCAACGTAGACTGTACAAGGGAAGGCAAAGGAAATGTCCTTTATTGCAAGAAAATGAAATATAAAAGTAGTGGTGTTTAACTGCAGCTGGACAGGGCTTTGGTGAGACCACATCCAGAGCAGTTTCAGCCTCCTGCTCTGAAAAAGGAGCTGATTAATTTAGGGTAGCATGGTGTAGAGCTGGATGAACACAGCAGGCCAAGCAGCATCAGAGGAGCAGGAAAGCTGACGTTTCGGGTCGAGACCCTTCTTCAGCTTTCCTGCTCATCTGATGCTGCTTGGCCTGCTGTGTTCATCCAGCTCTACACCATGTT